CAATACGTGGGGGTCCCTGATCAAGGCTAGTTGATTCGCATGGGGGGGGCCGCGACCCGTTGGAACGTCCAAGATGACCCAGAAGGGAGTTCCAGATTGCCTCCAAGCTCGCCCAAGATGGTCCGAGATGGCCTCGACGACGGCCCAAGAGGGTCCAAGACGCTCTCACGTTCACCCAGCAGGCCTCCCAGACGGCCCCAGAAGCCTCCAAGACGACGCAGAACTGGCATCGCGCATTTGTCCCCCGAAGCTGCGCGGACACAGCTCGGGGGAAAAATCCGGAATACGTAGAAAATTGTACTTCCAGGGCAGTCCACGACAATACGTGGGGGCCCCTGATCCAGGCTACTTGACTCGCACGGGGGGCCGCGACCCGTTGGAACGTCCAAGATGACCCAAAAGGGGGTTCCAGATTGCCTCCAAGCTCGCCCAAGATGGTCTGGGATGGCCTCGACGCAAGAGGGTCCAAGACGCCCTCACGTTCACCCAGCAGGCCTCTCAGACGGCCCCAGAAGCCTCCAAGACGACGCAGCACTGGCATCGCGCATTTTTCCCCCGAAGCTGCGCGGGCACAGCTCGGGGGAAAAATCCGGAATACGCAGAAAGCTGTACTTCAGGGCAGTCCACGACAATACGTGTTCTCCCTGATCAAGGCCACTTGATTCGCATGGGAGGCCGCGACTCGTTAGAGCGTCCAAGATGTCTCAAGAGATGGTTCCCGATTGCTTCCAAGCTCCCCCAAGATGGTCCAATATGGCCTCGACGACGGCCCAAGAGGGTCCAAGACTCCTTCACGTTCACCCAACAGGCCTCCAAGACGGCCCCAGAAGGCCCCAAGTCGATGCAGAACTGGCATCGCGCATTTTCCCCCCGAAGCTGCGCGGGCACAGACCGGGGGAAAAATCCGGAATACGTAGAAAGCTGACTTCCAGGGCAGTCCACGACAGTACGTGTTTTCCTTGATCAAGACTAGTTTATTCGCATGGGGGGCCGCGACCCGTTAGAGTGTCAAAGATGTCTCCAGAGGGTGTTCCAGATAGCCTCCAAGTTTGCATCCAGAACATTAAAAATACAAAGTGGCTATATACAAATCAGACCATACAACATTCATTAACGCCACATACACGAATCATCGAGGTAATCGAGGAGCTAGAACACATGTTTGTTGTCCCGCTGGCACCGAATTGAACACGTCACGCGGCCCCCCCCCCTCCAAAGTCGAGAAAAAACATCCGCGCCCTCGTTGGCCAGCGCTCTTCGCGGCGCGAGGCAGTTCCCCAGGGCAATAAGACAAAAGCAGATGTGGCCCCATGCAAGTGCGCGGTTTCGCAATACCATACAGGCACGCCGCATGCACGGCAATCTGAGAACAATACATGCTGCATGCAGAAGGGGCCATCGAAAGGTAATGCCACGTTCTTGGCATACGTATCAAGCCGTGCACAGGACATAATAGCACTGACGGGAACACAGTAACTCGAACAGCGAAAAACCCTTTTTATTGCTAGTATCGATGAGTAGCGCGAGGGCGCGATGGCCGTCTTGCTTGCGAGGTGGTCGGCCGAAGCACGTCAACTTAAAAAGAAGACGTGCGCGACTCCCCTATCCTCTGAATGGTCGACGCCTCGCGAAGATGCAAACCAATGAACGAGAATCGAGGACGTACTCGCGCGTGCTCACTCGCCGAGCGAAATGCGCACGGCCGCGAGCGCTGCCTCGAGGGCAGCGACGCGATCCTCGAGCGCAGAGATGCGCTGGATCGCCGTGCGCGCGCCGCCCCCGCGCTCACTGGCCGCCGCGCCCACGTCGCCCTCCGCGCTCGCTGCCGCCGCGGCGCTCCCGCCGCCGCTGTCGGAGTCTGCGGGCGCCGGCGCGTTCACCGGGTTCTCCAGCGCAAGCACCGCCGGGCCCACCCCCGCCGCGCCGCCTGGAACAGGTCGCGGCCTCGCCGCCCGGGCCGCGTCGACCAACTGGGGCGGCGGCGCCCTGACCCGCACGGAAAAGTGATTCGGGTTGTGGATCCACGGGGCGCAGTGGCCGTTCCTCAAAAACAACAGAATCCATAATACCAACGAAAAGTGTACTTTTCAATGCAGAGGGGGGTCGCGACCTTCGAAAATGCACGCGGTGGCCTCGATAATTGCTCGGGGGCATTAGAAACCTCGCTGAGATCACCGCGCTCATTTCCATCTTAAACTCAAACCGAGCCCCACCGAGGACACCGCATTTGAGTTTTGATAGTCCGTTTTACACAAAGCTTACTTGGCGGTTTCGAGGCGATACCCCTGGAGAACACAAGACAAAGAGAGAGACAGACAGGCATAATACAAATGATATAGACACTGTTAAGGTATAGATCGAAACAACTGGCATCATAAATGATACAAGTATGCTATGTTACATATGTGAAATGATGATCATGCTACTTGGTATTCCGTGGTCGGTCAAATCTACTATATTGCAGATCTGTTTTGTCAAATGTTATATCTGGCAGATCTGTCATCAGGTAAAGCCGTCATCTGGCCAATCTACTATCTGGCACAATTTGATATCTGGCCAACCTGCAGACAAATTATCGTTCGATTATGTTATAGCAATGTACAAGTGCGGGTTTACATGATGCGCTCTTGTCCTTCCCTGGCTCCTGGGATCGCCATACCATGAGTGGCGGTCTCCGAGGACGTGATCGTCGTTCACCTTGTCCTGCACGTACGGGCGCTTGTTGGCGTAGCACAACAGGCAGCGCCAACCTCCCTCTGGATCTGCTTCGAGCCACCAAACCTGATCTGAGGATACCAAGGATACCAAGCTCCGTTGTTCGCAATCGTCGTTCGAAAACAAATAGTCCCCCCGAACCAAGCCACTCGAGACCCCCTTTGAATGTCGCATGAGCGGAAAGCCCCTCAACCCCTACCCTCCTGCAAGTCTCGCCAGAAACATCCAAAAACAACAAGGGCATTCTCCGACCGCGATACATTCGGGCACTCGTCGGAAAAAGCGCATTCTTGAATGTCAAGAAGGAGATGTCTCATTGCGGGCATTCCCGCGTCCGAGAGATCTTCGAGATGTTCGAAAAACATCGAGATCTTCGAAAACAACGTTTTTTTTTATTTCGGGCGAGACTTGTCAAGACGACCGCAAGTTCCGCCGTTAGTGGCCTGCTCCGACCAGGCCGGAAACACTGGAGACCCACGGAACGAGGGAGTTTCAAAACCTGCGGGGGCTCGCGGATCCGCGGTCTGAAAGCACTATCTAAAACCGAGCTCCCCTGCGATAGTTTGCAATCCGGGGCACTGGCGCGCGAGTCCCCGCGTCCAGATAGAGCGGGGCGGGCGCCGCCACGTCGCCGAGGGCGGAGCGGCGGGCGGCGGCGGGGCGCGGCGAGCAGCGACAGATCGACGCTGAGATCGCAGCGACATCGGGAACCGACGAACGGCACAAACGACGACAGTCTGCAGATGACATCGCGGAAATCTGTTATCCGTTACCGAGCAAGTCCATTCGCTGACCAACATCCCGCAGAACAGGTCATATGCGACCACATATGAGATGAGATGTCACGCGCATCACGCGCGTCGACGACGAACAAAACTCTCTCGCACACCACTCACTGGACATGTATCATGTGATATGTTATGTAAGTAGGGTTTCGAACTAGAACAGCCGTGCTCCAGAACAGCGGCGGTGACTGAAGGGGCAGAGGCGGCGACGCCCAGACGAACCAAGATGGCATCAGGACGCCCCAATTGGCTCCCAAGACGGCCCATGACAGCCTCCTCGCTACCTCCTGGTGCGATGACTTAAGCATCGAGGCAATAGATGTCGCGCCGTGCATTTTTCCCCCGGACTGGCGCGAACGCTGTCAAATGTCATGTGCTATTCTGTGTTTGGGGAAAGTCGTTGCTAGATAAACCTGGATATCTGGCATACCTGTTATCTGGTAGTATGGCTTATGACACAGCAGATGTGGCCCTATGCAATGGGGTCATTTATTACTACCCAGTAGGTAGCCGCATGCAAGGCAAGCTCCGGACAACGAATGCTATATACAATGGCATATATAAACGAGCAACGCCCTGCACAAGGCGCCCCTGCGCCCCCGCGCGTTTCACGAGCGGGGAGGGCGGGCGCGGAGTCAAGGTCCGGAAACAAATTTAGGGGCCAGGGCATTGGCAGACTTGAGCAACCTCTAGACTGCGCACGCAGGGCACGGCGTCGCGTCGTCGGGCCAGCAGCCGCTGCCACTGCACAGGACGCACGTCTCGCAGAGCGGACAAAAGTCCCTGATCTTGCCGCCCTATAGCCCTGTAGCCCAATACCCCGATAGCCCTGTAGCCCGATAGCCCGATAGCCCTATAGCCCTATTGCTTGAAAGCCCCATAGCCCTACGATTGGCACTAGGCTGTAATTCGCTTTCTAACATATCTCCCGGGCAGTTCCACGGGGGCCAATGAAAGTTAGCAGCGGCACAGGGAAGGCGCAGCATGCAATATACTTGGCTCGGCGGCCATCATTGGTAGCGCACGCGCATCTAGCGCGCAGCATTGCATGGCCGAATTAAGCAGGGGCGGTGCTCCGCACCTAGCACTGCCACGGCTAGTCTGGCAAGGCTTAGCGGGCAAGCTGCATGCAACGTGGCTTGCTGACGACGATCGCGACAGCTGAGACCGCAGGCTTTGCTGCGCCGCTCAGTCCACGCAGAGCGGGCAAGGGAGCTGGGAGTCGAACTTATCCCAGGTCTCAGTGCCGCCGCACACAGGGCACACTTCGCAGAGCGGACACGGCAGGGTGACCATGTCCCCCGTGACAGCGCGCTACTCGAGCAACTTGCAAGTGCCGTCGCAGAAGACACACTGAAACGAGTCGTCGAGGTCGGCGCGCGCCGCCGTCGCCGCCGCGGAAGGCGAGGCCAGCGGCAAAACCGCGTCCCGAGTCAGGCCCGGGCGCCGCCGGAGCAGAGTGACCATCGAGTTCACGCAGTAGACCACGTCGTCTCGCACCTCGGCAGCCGCAGCCTTCATCCTCTGAAAGGGAGCGAGGTCGCACGTGGACCGCGGCGTCGTCGAGGAAGGTCCCCGCCAGGAAGTGCATCGTCGCGAGGACGCAATGCGCGACGTGCAGCGGCATCTTCTTGAACAACGTCGGCCATGTGTTCGGCGGCTGCAGGGCGTCCGGGTTGCCGACGTGCTGGCACAAGACGACGCCCCGAGTCTCGGCGCTACCCTTCGCAAGCGCCACTGCGAGCGCTGTCCGCGCCCCCCGGCCCTGCTCCTTTGCATCGCCCCCGAGGCGGAGGCGCTTGCACGGGAGGAGCCTGGCGTAGATGGGGCGCCCCTCAGAAAATGTCTCAGGGAACAGCCAGATGGACTGCCGCGCTGCCACGCGACCAGCCGCGGCGACGCGCGCCGCTACCTCCGGAGTTGGACTGGACGCATCGGGGCGGGGCGATGCGTCCAAGAAGTACGCGGTGACGGTGGCCAGGCCGTTGTTCACGCGCACTCCGATCGGCCTCAGTAATTGAGGCAGAGACATCTGGAGAGCTTCACGGTCGGGCGCCAGCCCATACACGTCTGAATCGCTGACCCAGCTCGCGCCGTCGACCGGGTTCGGCGTCGGCGACTGCGCGACATCGAAGAAGGCCCCGCCGTCGTCGAAGAGGTTCGCGCACCCGAGCTGAATCGCCTGCACGAGCGTCAGCGAGGGGGGGCGAACGCAACTCGCAGGCCACGGATCCGCCATCCGCACGTCGGCCACGACCTTCGGCAACGGCCAGAGGAAGGCCCTGACGGCGTCGAAGAAACGGTTGGCGCACTCCAGCTCGCACTTCCTGTCGATCCACTGCGGGTCTACTGGCCGCGTCGGGCCGCCCGACTTGCATGGGGGCCCCCAGACCACGAGCGCGCGATCGCGCCGGCTCGCATCGAAGTGCGCCTTCCAGTGCGGCGCCGCGCGGCCATCCTCCAAGCACTCGACGCACTCGTGGGAGGACGCGAACAGGATGCCTCGAGTGAAGCCCACGTTCCTGCGCATCGCGTCCCGCGCGTTGCCCTGAACGTCGAACGCGCCCAGGTTCCGGGGGGAACACTGTGGTTTGCTGAAGCAGCGCATCAGCTCCAGATGCGGCTTCTGGCGTCAGAACTCTCCACAGGTGAGGAGCGTCGCAGGCCTCCGCGGGCATGCCGAACGACTCCATGAGCGCCGCGTTCTCGAGGGCGCCCCGCACGACGACGTCGAAGTTCACCCTGACGTCGTTGGCCCACACCATGGTCAGAATCGCCTTCGTGCCACGTGCAATAGTTGCCGAGCGAGTGCCGCCCGGCGCGAGAACGCGGCCCAGTGCCATCGCGCGCAGGAACAGCATGCCCTCGAACAGCATCTGCTCGAATACAGGCTTGCAGGCAGCCGCCCGCGGAGCCTCCTCCGCGCCGCCGCCGCGGTCGGGCGCTCTCCGGCGCGCGCCCAAGCCGATGGCCTCGGCGTCCGCAGCGAGGACGCCGCGGGTCACGGCCGGAAACCAGCGCGCGTCCGAGTAGCGCACGAATCTCACGGCAGTCTGAGGTACATCTGCAAGGTTCGCGTACCGCTCGCGATCGTCGTGGTCCAGCGCGCACATGAGCGGGTGCTCCTTGCGACCGCACTCCTTGGAGGTGTCCCGCATGAACTTGCACTGCAGGGGCCCGAACCTCCAAGTGACTGACAGAGTAAAGACGTGGGAAAGTGGGACGTAGTCCCAGAGGCGCAGCGGGCAAGGCCCATGGCACGCCTGATTCCAGGCGTAATATTGCCCGAAGCTCAGAGGCGAATGCCCCCGCAGAAACTCTGTGGCCCTCGAGTGTTCGATGTCCTGGGCTCTGTCGAACATTGCCAAGGCAGTGCCAAGCCGATGCGCGACGGGCAGCAAGTGGGCGAAATCCACCTGGTGAGCCTAGTCCACGACACCCAGCCTGAATTCGAACTTCTGGAAGACTGGGGACAATCAGTTTTTGCCGCAGCAGATCTGCAGGAAGCAGTCGACCGTCATGACGAATATGCTGACTCCTCCGAAGAGCGCGCCCCTGGCCTCCTCCACGAGGTTGCGGAACTGAAACGTCAGACCAGCATCTCTTCGCTCTGGAATTTCCATTCCTTGCCATCGGGGGCGGCAAGATCGAAGTGCTCCTGCGCCGTCTGCAAATGTGCCCGCAGGTCGTCGATGCGGCTCTTGATGCTTTCGGTGCGGTCGTCCAGCGCGCGGAGCAACGCCGGGTCGAGATAGCCCTCGTCCGCGGACGAATCATCGCCGGCCGGGCGGCCGATCGCCGCGGCCTCGAATGGGTCGTCGAGCGCGCTGCGGATCAAACTCAGCATCTCGTCTCGCTGCGTCCGCTGCTGCAGTAGCACAACGCCATTCACCTTCTCGTCGAAAACGTCGCGGGCGCTGAGGGGCGCCGCCACGGCGGTAAGCGACTTGCCAGTGCCCGGGCACGCCTCGCAAAAGAAAGCGCCTCTCTTGGAGGCTGCCATGTACTCTACGAGGGACATCTGGTCGGCCGTCAAGTTCTCACTCAGTTTCTGCGCGACCGCTGCCGCGGCGCCCGTCGTCAGCCCCGACAGATGGTCGGCGCCGTCGGGCTCGAGTTCACCGCAGCAGCGGGCGGGGAGCAGCGCGCGGCAGGCCGGCGACGGCACCTCGCCCAGGCTCCTGAGAAGGACTCCGATGGCATTGGACTCTGCCCCGACATAATCACCTACGCAGACGAGCACCCGGCCAGATGCGAACGAGCCTCGCTGGAGGCGAAGGGTTTGTCGATCCTCGCCCACCACGGACGCGCACGCGTGGAATTCGCCGCAGTGCGCTGCGCGCACGAACAGCGGCCCCTTCTTGCCGCCAGATGTCCAGAATCTCCTCCGCCGCGGCCTTGAGGGCGCCCTCCTCGACCACCAGCGCCATGCGATCGCGGACGTTCAAGGGCGCGTCCACAGGAACCACCAGGTGCACGAGGTCGCTGGAGTCGTCGCCATCGAGCGCGCCGTTGACTCGGATCAGACCTCCCTGCCCGGCGTAGGCGATGTCCCCGCTGAGGAACTCCTGGGCGGCGGAGTTCTTCAGCTGATGCATCGCGTAGGGGAACCACTCTGTCATGGGCACGACGTCGCCGAAGCGAGGCTGGCGACTGCGGAAAGAAACCGTGCCGCACGTGCAGCGGTCGCCGAGCATGTCGCCGAGGCCTCGCACGCCTCTGGCAAAGCGCGACCGGCAAGGGCCACTCGATGCCAACCACTCCTCCAAGTCGGAGAAGCCCAGCTGCACGGGCGCGCCCCCGCGAAGAGTTCGCTCCATCACCTGGCTCAGCGCCCGCACTTTTGATGCCTCGTCGCGGAGCGCTGTCTTGAGCTGCGCGCGGTGCCCGTGCATCTGCTCCTGCATCGCCATCCAGATGGAGCTCAGCGCCGACGCGACGCCAGCAGCGTTCTCGTCGCTCAGGACGACCGCCAAGCTCGAGCGACGGGGCTGGCTGGATAGCGCGGTCAGCGTTCGCGCCACCTCCCCGGCGGGCACTGCGCACGCGCACGACTGCGCCCACCGGGGGCAGCTCTTAACGGTTCGGCGGCCCAACTGCGGCTGGGCGATGGCATTCATGGTCGGCCACTGAACTGGGCGACTCAACGCCACCACCGCCACGGAAAGGACCTTGGCGCAGCGATCGGTCGCTCTGAATCCGTATTCCAGCGGCACGGCCAAGTCCCACGCGTCGACGGCGACAGCCGAGGCGACTCCGCTGCCCCAGTCGCCAGGCTTGAAGCCGAGCCTCTCTAGCGGCACACCGCGCGCCGCGGTGTCGGGCAGCAAGTGGTTGAAACACACCGGGATCTGGCGAGAGACAGGAGCGGCCAGTGATGACAACGAGACGATAGGACAGCAAAGCTGGTCCTACAGTTACTGATAGTGGACGGGCCAGCAAAGCTGAGCCACGCCAAGACGCGGAAAATGAACAGGCCAGCAAAGCTGAGCTACGTCAGTAAGATCTCACGAATACAAGATTGAGCCAACGGCAGTCGTATACAAGGCAACCCATCTAAACATGTTTTGCAATTGCACGCGCGTCAACCTATCATCAATTATCTGGCAAATCTGTTATATGACGAGTCTGTTATTACGGGATACATACTATCTGGCACATGTGTCATCTGCAAGTCGGTATTTCGGAAAATGTGATGAATGGTGAACCCTGTTATCTGGCAAACCCGTTTTCGAGCAACCATGTTTCTGGCAAACCTGTTATCACGGACACGCGTCATCAAGCGAACCTGTAATTTTTCAAACCCGTCATATGGCAAACATGTTATCATGCAGCCATGCTATCATGCAAACGTGTTGTATGATGCATACCTGTTATATGGCAAACCCGTCATCGGGCAAACAAGGTATCTGGCAAACCTGTTATCACAGAAATGGGCAATCAAGTGAACCTGTAATTTTGGCAAGTGGCGGTGCATATACGAGACACGCAGTATATACGAGTGATTACATACGAATCGCGGCGTAAGTGGCCGAACAACCTTGGGTCAATGCATCTCCGAGATCAGCATCTGGGAACCTTGAGTTGCGAGAACGCTTCAAGCGAAACGGCCTGAATACCTGAGCTCAGGGCGTCTCTGAATCTAGAGATGCGAGGATGGCTCAGGCGGAAGTGACCAGACCATTATGGAGCAGGAGGCCGGTTGATTCGCATGGGGGACCGCGACCCGTTAGAGCGTCCAAGATGACCCAAGAGGGAGTTCCAGATTGCCTCCGAGTTCGCCCAAGATGGTCCAAGATGGCCTCGACGACGGCCCAGGAAGAGGGTCCAAGACGCCCCCGCGTTCATGCAACAAGCCTCCAAGACGGCCCCAGAGGCCTCCAAGACGGCCCAAGAGGCCAACAAAGGTTCTCTAGGAGGCCCCGAAGAGGCCCAAATCATTGATCATCCAAAAATGTTTGGAAGGTTTGCGCATGTTCTTCTTTTCGGTCTTCCGACGGCCATCCTACTACGACGCAGAACTAACACCGCCCATTTTTCCCCCGAAGCTGCGCGAACACAGCCGAGGGCAAAAATCCAGAATAAATGAAAGCTGCACTTCCAGAGCAGCCCACGACAGCACGTCTTTTCCGCGATCAAGGCCAGTTGATTCGCATGGCGAGCCGCGGCCCCTCTGCTATTGACTATTGCCTCCGCCCCCTGCTCCTCGTATTCCTGCTCTTCCTCCTCGCCCCCCTCCTCGTTCTCCTCCTTCTCCTCCTCCCCCTTCTCGCCCTACTCTTCCCCCTCCCCCCCCGCCCCCCCACTACGACGCAGAACTGGCATCGCGCATTTGTCCCCCGATACTGCGCGGACACAGCTCGGGGGAAAAATCCAGAATAAGAAGGGAGCTGTACTTCCAGGGCAGTCCACGACAATACATGTTTTCCCTGATCAAGGTTGCTTGATGCGCATGGGGGCGCGCGACCCGCTGGAGCGCCCAAGGTGGCCAAAGAGAGGGTTCCAGATTGCCTCCAAGAGGATCCAAGACGCCTCCGCGTTCGCACAGCAGGCCTCCAAGACGGCCCCAGAGGTCTCCAAGACGGCCCAGGAGGCCAACAAGAGGTTCTCCAGGAAGCCCCGAAGAGGCCAAAATCATTGATTACCCAAAAGTGTTTGGAAGGTTTGCATATTTTCTTCTTTTCGGCCTTCCGACGGCCATCCTTCTACGACGCAGAACTGACACCGCGCATTTCCTCTGAAGCTGCGCGGGCGCAGCCCGGGGGAAAAATCCGGAACACATGAAAGCTGCACTTCCAGGGCAGTCCACGACAATACGCGGGGGCCCCTGATCAAGGCTAGTTGATTCGCATGGGGTGGGCACGTCCCCTCTGATTTTGACTGTTGCCTTCTCTACCTGCTCCTCGTATTCCTCCTCCTCCTCCTCCTCCTCTTCGTTCTCCTCCTCATCCTCCTCCTCCTTCTCCTCTCCCCCCCCCCCCCCTGCTCTCCCACTACGACGCAGAACTTGCATCGCGCATTTTTCCCCCGAAGCTGCGCGGACACAGCTCGGGGGAAAAATCCGGAATGCGCAGGAAGCTCCACTTCCAGGGCAGCCCACGACAGTACGTGTCCCCCCTTATCAAGTCTAGCTGATTTGCATAGGGGGGCCGCGACCCGATAGAGCGTCCAAGATGACCCAAAAGGGAGTTCCAGATTGCCTCCGAGCTCGCCCAAGATGGCCCGAGATGGCCTCGACGACGGCCCGAGAGGGTCCAAGACGGCCTCGCGCTCACCCGGCAGGCCTCCCAGACGGCCCCAGAAGCCTCCAAGACGACGCAGAACTGACACCGCGCATTTTTCCCCCGAAGCTGCGCGGGCACAGCCCGGGGGAAAAATCCAGAATAAATGCAAGCTGCACTTCTAGAGTCGTCGCTTCACAGAGGCCGCGCCAGGCTCAGGCCGCCGAATTAATTTAATTATTTTAATTTATTTAATTAATCCAGACGGATCAATTAAGTTAATTAAATGAATTCGGCTGGAAAATAAAGGCCCCCAGGATTTCCCGGGGGGAAGCCAGAAGAAGAAGAGGGGAAGAAGAAGAAAAAAAAAAAAAAAAGAAAGAACAAAAAAATGGTGCATTGCATTCATAATGTTTGAAATAATTCAAAGAATTCTATGTGGTTTATTTATTTTATTTATCTCATTTATGTTATATATTTTTCTGGCCCCCTCACGCCGGCCGCGCCGGGCCCGGGCCGCCGAATTAATATAATTATTTAAATTAATTCGGTTGCGGACGAGGATCCCCAGGATCTCCTCCAGGGAGGCCAGAAAATAATAAAATACATAAAACACATAAAACAAATAAAGTAAATACAAT